CAAGCACTGTGGCAGTACATCAAGACTCATAAGCTTCAGGACCCCCACGAACGGGAGTTCGTTATCTGTGATAAATACCTCCAGCAGGTGAGTGAGGGTTCTGCTCTTCAGTTAGAGTACACTGTGTTCTGGCAGGGACCCTATGTGTCCTCAGCCTTAAATTGCTTCTTCCTGTAGATATTCGAGTCGCAACGGATGAAGTTCTCAGAGATCCCCCAGCGGCTCCATGCCTTGCTTATGCCACCAGAGCCCATCATCATTAATCACGTCATCAGGTGGGGGCATGGTAGCAACAAGACAACAAGACATTTCTTTGCTGAAGAGCGAGGGACTGGAGGGTGGGAGGATTCAAGCCTTCTTTTTCCTGTAATGAGGAGGCAGGAGCTGAAGTTCTCCATTTTCCCCCTTCACTCTTGGGCAGAGGTTGAATGAGGAAGGCATCTCCAGAGCCTCATAGCCTTAAAGTGACTTCTTTTTATAGCCGAGCCTGGGACCATTTTTCAGGTTTCATTGCTTCGGTGTTCAGTTCTTTTTCTCTCTCGTTGGGGTACCATCACCTAGCATGTAACCCAAGGTTCTGCAAACAGTGTGAATTGGATCACTAGAAGCTAGACTGTTCTTATCTCAGAGATACAGAATTAGAAGCCTCTTTCTAGACCTCAGTAACTGCGTTTTTGGAGGCATTCCTTTCACCACACTACTATGATTTCTTTCTCAGTGTTGACCCCAATGACCAGAAGAAAACTGCCTGTTATGACATTGATGTGGAAGTGGATGATACCCTTAAGACCCAGATGAACTCCTTCCTGCTATCTACTGCAAGCCAGCAGGAAATTGCTGCTCTCGACAACAAGGTAAGATCCTCTGCCCAGGTAGTTTGGGTGCCATGGGTTTTCCTAGTCAGAGTCGCTAGGCCAGTTTTGCCTCTTCATAGACCTCAAGGACCCACTTTACAGACTTGTCTGCCCTCAGATTTTTTTTTTTGAGACAGAGTGGTGAACTAAAGGTTCACTATGTACGTAGCTATATGTGAATCATGTTGTGAAGCAGACTTTTCCAGAGTACGGAGTAGCACAGATGAGTCATGAAGGAGCACCTGCCTTTAACCTCGGAAAGCGATCATAGTACAGGGAAGAGTTCTCTGAACTAAAGTTAAAAGACTTGGCTTGTAGTCCTTATTTTGCTCCTTACTGAATACTTGGCTTTGCGTGTGTGAAGTCACTTCACATCTCTGACCCTCAGTTTCTTTAATTTGTAAAGTGGGACTCATACCATCTGCTCCATTTCCCTGTGGTGAGATCAGAGAAGATACTACGTGTGAAAGTATTTTGCAAACTATCAAGCACTATACAAATAAAAGATGATATTCATAAGAAAAAAATACCATGATTTTCTTAAATCCAGACTGTTTAAGCATATCCTTATCCTTAGATCCATGAGACAATAGAGACCATCAACCAGCTGAAAACCCAGAGAGAGTTCATGCTGAGTTTTGCAAGAGACCCTCAGGGCTTCATCAATGACTGGCTTCAGTCCCAGTGCCGGGATCTGAAGGTAATGCATTCAGACAGGGGTCACAAATTTGTCTTATTTCTGCCGGGATAGGAACAGGAGAAGTAGCTGTCGGAACCAGATTCCTAAAGATTTCATGCTCTTTAATTTTAGGTAGGGAAATGGAGGTTTAAATAATCAACAGATATTATTGCATTGCCTGCTATGCAATCAGCACTGTCCTAGGTGCTGTGGATGATATAGAAGTACTCAGTATGGTCCTTGCCCTCGTTGTTTATTTATTTTTGTTGAGGCAGTTGGGGTTAAGTGACTTGCCCAAGGTCACACAGCTAGTAAGTGTCAAACGTCTGAGGTCGGATTTGAACTCAGGTCTTCCTCACTCCAGGGCCGGTGCTCTATCCACTGTGCCGCCTAGCTGGGTCCTTGCTCTAATTGGAGAGGCAAGACCAATTCATATAAAGCAACAGTAACAAACAATGCAAAAACAGTATATAATTATATGGTAGAGATTGTTGTGACTGAAGCACTTGGAAAACCTTAAAGCTTTTTTATAAATGTGAATTGTGCTAGGAATTCAGAGGAGAACGAGATCAATGAAGATTGGGCTAGTCAGGGAATGCTTCATGGAAAAGATGGAACTTGGACTGCATCTTAGAGGATGAGTAGAATTCAGATTGGGAGGGTAGAAGAGCATTTTAAGGAGGAGGGACCGTGAACCAAGTATGACCACTATTAGACTGATGGGATAGCTCAGAGACTAATCTGTCTAAAACAGGTAATAAGTAAAATAAGGTTGGGCGGGTTATAGAGGAGTCTCTTGAAAATTAGGAAGAGATGTTTAGATGGTAGAATTGGAAACAAAGAGCCATTAAAGATGTTTGAGTAAGAGAATGACTGGTGAATAGCACTTAAGAGTACTTATTCTAGCCTGAAGTCAAGGAGTACACCTGTGAGGCTGTTACTAATCTAGGTGTGGAGTGATAGCTTAGACTAAGAATGAGTTTGCCCTTCCCCACTTCTCTAGACCATGACTGATGTAGTGGGTAACCCAGAGGAGGAGCGCCGAGCTGAGTTCTACTTCCAGCCATGGGCTCAGGAGGCTGTATGCAGATACTTCTACTCTAAGGTAGGTACCTGAGGAGACCAAAAGAGAACTGACAGAGCAAGCAGCCTGGGCCTGTTACTTCCCATGTGGAAGTCGGGGATGTCAGGTCCCAACCTATAGGCCTGCTTGCCCCCAGCCTCCCTCTCCTTTCCCCCCCCAGGTGCAACAGAGACGGCAGGAACTGGAGCAGGCCCTGGGCATCCGAAATACATAAGGCCCTTCCTCCGTCCTCAGCCCGGCCACACCAGTTCTTCGTTTAGGCTCTCGTGCCTCCCCATGGCTCCTGCCCTAGCCTTGCCTGGGGGTCCCCCAGGGGAAGCTGCTGGTTGAAGGATGACACCAAGACGAAGAGGGTCCCACATTTCTGTCTCAAGAGACAAATATTCTCCTCCCCAGTCTCTCCAACTCCCCTTTGCCTCACAAAACTCCCATGTGCCTCTCCCTTTTCCTGGTCTACATAGGACCTCTAGTTAGTATTAGTGAGAGAATTTATAGTGGTAATCAGTGCTCTGAATGGACTGGCCTAAGGCTAAGTGATCTTCAAGGGAAACAACTAAACTCATCTTGCCCTTAAGAGACCCAGGATTGAGGGCCATAGTCCCTTTTCCCAGGTCTGGACCAGGGGGCATTCTGTAAGTTAGTTGGTTTTGGTTGTCCCTATATAGAATCCCATTTTCTTTCATCAGTTTGGTACAAAC